GGAATTGTAATAGAGGAGACAGAGGAAATAAAAGAACAATAGGAAGGAGACAATCTATGATAACTAAGAAAATTGTAAATGGGATGAGGATTACGAGTAGAACGAGTACCTTTGCGAATGGCAATGGGCCAACTGGAATCATCGTTATCAGGAGCCGTGGTATTAGAGGATGATGGTGAAGGACCTGTTATGGATGGCTCATCTTGGGGAATGGGATTGTTCACCTGGTTCCTGCGTTGATAGGTGATGATAGGCTGTGATGCTGATTCTAGAGTATTTTGGTCAGAAATAGGAGGTACAACTGATTCAACTAAGGGAACAGGAAGCACATTTTGGACAGAATCAATATCCTGCATAGAATAAGGGAAGAAGGATGATGATTCAAAAAAGGTGACATTTGCAGACATGTAGTACCTCTTGGTTTCAGGAGAATAACACCGATCTCCTTTTTGAAGACGAGAATACCCCAAGAAGACACATTTGATAGCTCTAGGTAAGAGTTTATCTAAGCCAGGAGACATGTCATGAACAAAACATATACATCCAAATACCCTAGGAGTAACATGAAAAATTGGTTCCTTTGGAAATAGAATAGAGTGTGGAACTTTATTATCAAGAGAAGAAGATGGCATTCTATTAATGAGAAAGCATGCAGTTAGAATAGCATCTCCCCAATGATGAATAGGCATATTGGCACCCAGCAATAAGGTACGAGCAGTTTCAACCAAATGTCTATTTTTTCGTTCTGCTATACCATTTTACTGTGATGTGTGAGGACACGTGGACTGGTGTAAAATGCCTTGAGAATTTAGGACATTAGAAAAATCATTAGAAAAGTACTCTTTGGCATTATCACTTCGTAAAACTTTGATTACTTTTCCAAATTGAGTTTTGATTTCATTAAGGAAAGACTTAAAGATAGGCAATAGTTCAGAACGATCTTTCATAAGATAAACCCAAGTACATCTAGAAAACCCATCAATAAAGTAACAAAATATCTAAAACCAAAAGATGAAACACGACTAGGTCCCCATATATCTGAATGAACAATACTAAAAGCGAGAATCACATCTAGATTCAGAATGATTTGGAAATGATGACCTGGTATGTTTCCCTAGTTGACAGGATTCACATTCAAGAGTTTGAAGGTTCGAAGTTCGGGAACCATTTTTTTCAATTTTGCTAAATGAGGATGCCCTAATCGCTCATGTAACAGTTTTGGGGATAAAGACGCAACACAAGATACGGATGACTTAGTCCTAAGGTAGTATAAGCCTCCAGATTCACGTCCTTCTCCAATCAGTTGACCCGTACCACGTTCCTGGATAACAAAACAATTGGCATTAAAGGTTACTGAGCAATTCAATGATTTGGTTAATTGGCTTACAGAAACAAGACTGAATGGAAAAGAAGGAACACAAAGAACATTTTGAAGGTTTAAAGAAGAAGAGATGGATACTTGACCAATTCCTTTAGAGGCTACTTTAGATCCATTAGCTAAAGATATGAGATGGGATGTTTTAGGAAATGAAAGAGAGGAAAATAAAGAGGTATTACCAGACATGTGGTCAGAAGCACCTGAGTCAATAATCCATGGATTTTGACTTTCCACAGATTGCGAAATGCAAACGGTTGACGAATTTGGTGTTGTAGATGCTTGAGCCAAATTGGTTGATTTCATCCTTAAATATTCTTGATACTCTTCATGAGAGAACTTGGGCTCATCAACTTCAGATTTTGAGGTATTAGCTGCCTTATCAGGAAAGTCGTGCAGAGCAAAGCAATTTTCCTTAGTATGTCCCATTCTTTTGCAATGAGAGCACTGAGGACGTCCTTTCCCACCACGTCCTCTAGAGCTGTGATTACCTCTTCCACGAGCAGAAATCATGGCGGAAGAATCAGCAAGTTCCTGACTGTTTTTGCTTTTGATAGAAGGAACACGAAGTAGCCTTGTGATTAAACTCTCCGTAGAAGGAACTTCTTCTCCAGTTAGAATCTGGTCTCTAACATGATTAAACTCTGGATTCATAGCCCTAAGAATCATTACCATATAGAATTTATCCAGCTTCGTCTTCCTTTCTTCTAATGATTACGCCTCCAGGAACATTTTTAATTCTTCAACAGTGACTCGAGCTTCAGCAACAAAGGACATCATGGAATTATCCTCTTGCTTAAGGGAGGCTAGTCTATTAGCGAGAATCGTAAAGTCGTTGAATATCGTTAACAAAGATATTTTGAGCCTTTTTCCAAAAAGAATTACATGTCTTGAAGGCTCGAAGAGTGCTCAAAATATGTGGTTCAACATATTGCCATAATAGTGCACAAAGTTGATAATCCAGTTTCTTCCATTGAGGAGCCTGGTCTGCTGGTATAGTACTTCCATCTTCTTCTAGATGATCATGAACTCCTTGACCTGGAAACCAGAGCTCAACAGAGGAAGCCCAAGACAAATAATTTTTCCCATTTAATTTTTCTGTGATTATAGTCGGAGTCCCAGAAAAAGATACAGACACAAATCCTGACATTTTCCAGGAAACAAGAAAGGACCAGCGTGCTGTCAGAGAGAGGACCGAGAGAGGCAGAGAGAAAAACGCAGACCCACCACGTTTTGTGACCGAGAACACAAAACAAAGTGCAGATCTGGCACCAGGGCGACGAGGCGAGCCGGATAGAGGTGGCCTGGAGCAAAACAGCCACCGAGAGGGCGGCACGTGAGGCCCACGCGCGGAGGAAGTCGCGGACGAGGGTGGCGCGTGGCGGCGCGTGAGGCAGAGATAGAGGAAGCGAACACTAGGGTTGGGTCGCGCTCCTCGAGGCGAGCCAAACCCAAGTGTCAGAGAGGAAAAAGGCGCCGGAGAAGACAACACCGGCGGTGAACGGCGGCGGACGGCGGTGAACGGCGATTAATGCCAGAAAAAAAACAGAGACAGGCAGAGCGGGATGAACCCGCTCTGATACCAACTTGAAATAGAAAAAAGAAAATAAAGAACTGATTTTGAGAGCCTAAAATAAAGAACTGATTTTGAGATGCATTCTAGGAACTAGATCTACAACTAATCTCATAAATGTCCAACAAGACACATTTAATCTAATAAATACTTCAACAATCACCCTGAATAGCGACAAGCCATGATTGATAAAATACAGGCACTTAAGCACAATGGCACTTGGGAGTTTGTTCCTCTTTCTCCTTGCAAAAAGACTATGGGCTGTAAGTGAGTTTATGCAGTTAAAGTTGATAATAATGGTAAAGTGGATTGTCTTAAAACTCATTTGGTAGCTAAAGGCTACACTAAAATTTATGGTCTTGACTACTGTGATACCTTCTCTCTAGTAGCTAAGATTTTCACTATTTTTCTTTTCCTTGCCACAGTTGCAATTTGTCATTGGCCCCTTCACCAACTAGACATTGAAAATGTCTTTCTTCATGGTGACCTTGAGGAAGAGATTTATATGGAGCAACCTCCTGGCTTTGTTGCACAGGAGGAGTCTAGTGGCTTGAAGCAGTCACCCCGAGCTTGATTTGGAAAATTCAGTCATGTTGTGCAGTTGTTTTGCATGAAAAGGAGTGAAGCAGACCACTTAGTATTTTATTATCATTCCTCTTCAGGCAAATGTGTGTATTTTATGGTTTATGTTGATGATATTGTTATCGCAAACAATGATTATACTAAGATCAGTCAATTGAAGAATCATTTGTTTGCTCACTTCCAAACCAAAGATCTTGGTCAATTGAAATATTTTCTTAGTATTGAAGTGACCCAGTCAAAGGAAAGTGTGATCATCTCTCAAAGAAAGTATGTTCTTGATATTCTGAAAGAAACTGGTCTAACAAATTGTAAGCCCATTGATACCTCAACGGACCCTAACCAGAAATTGATGAAGGATGAAGGAAAAAAGTTGTCAAATCCAGAAAGATATAAGAGGTTGGTTGGTAAACTCATTTATCTTACTATTACCTGACCAGATCTTTCTTATGCAGTTGGAGTAGTTAGTCAATTCATGCAAAATCCTTGTGTTGATCACTGGGATGCCTTGATTCGCATTCTAAGATATATTAAAGGGGTCTTAGGACAAGGGTTGTTATATGAAGATAAAGACAATACTCAAATTCTTAGTTATTGTGATCCAGACTGGGCTGATTGTCCAATTGATAGAAGATCGACTACTGGTATTGTATCTTTACTGAAGGAAATTTGATTTCTTGGAAGAGTAAAAAACAAAGTGTTGTTGCTCGATCTAGTGCAGAAGCTGAGTATAGATTTATAGCACTTGCTACATGTGAACTTGTGTGGATTAAATAACTCCTTCAAGATTTAAAATTTTGTGATATTGGGCAAATGAAGTTATTGTGTGATAATCAGGCAGTTCTCCATATTGCCTCCAACTCAGTCTTTCACGAAAGAACAAAAAATATTGAGATTGATTGTCATTTTATTAGAGAGAAGTTGTTGTCTAAGGAACTTGTAACTGAATTTGTAAGCTTCAATGAGCAACTGACAGATATTTTAACTAAATCCTTAAGAGGACCTAGAATTCAATTCATTTGTTCCAAACTTGGTACATACAATTTGTATACTCCAACTTGAGTGAGAGTGTTGAGATTTGTTATTTATGTATCTTTTAGTACTCTTTTTCAATGTTCTTTAGACTAGAGTTAAGGGTTTAGACTGAGGCTCATATCCTCTCTATTGTACCCCTTTTTCTATAAATACAATATATCAGTGTCTTTGGTCACTACATCAAATCCTAAATAAGTTTTCTCAAGTTTTGTAATTGCTTACGATTGAACTTCATTTCAGTTTTCAGAAATTGATGTTTATACCTCTTCAATAATTAATATTAAGAACCATTACAGAAAGAATATGAGACGCATTAAAAATCCCAGGTCAATTGACTCAGTTTTCAAATTTTCAGATTGGTGAGTGTATTGAATATATTTTAATCTGTACTAAGAATCAATCTTTAGGAGTTGAAAACAATGAACTAAAAAATTAAACCTACTTGTGCACAATATCTGAATCTGCGGAGTGACATTTTGGCTTCATATAAGCATTAATTACTTGTAAAATGTTATCACCCCGCCCTAAATCATTCTTGCCTCCTGCATTTACAAAAGATAGAAACTAAAATACAAAGTCCATGTGACACCGGAAATCCTCCATTTGACAATTAATTGTAAGTCATAATTATATGTAATATTGGGCCTATCTGTGACATCTCATTCCTTTACCATTTACATTTGTATGGACAGTAAATCGTTAGTGTTAATTAAGCTTTTTTACAATATACTAAGACAGCTAATAATGTAATTTTACTAGTCATTAATTCTGAACTTTGAAGTTTACTTATATTATGTAGCATTGATGACATGCAAACAAAATCTCTCTTCTTTGTCAAAATATTAAGTGCACTGTCACATAATTTAGACAGAGATAATGTCTCTAATTCTCTGGAAAGTTCACATTTAATATCAATTTTGAGTTACATGCAAAATAATTATAACTAAATTTATTGCAAAAGCTTTTTGACAAAAGTAACAGTTGTATAACATTAAGATTATCAAACTAGAATGTGATATTTGAAAAGTTATGCATACCTTTTCTCTTTTTCACCCATCCAAGTCCTTCAGAAGCAATTTTTTTAAGAATATGTTTGTCCCCAATTGATTTGACTATCTGACAAGCCGCCTCCTACCGCCACGAAAAAATAAGCAAAAGCATAGGCATATGTAAAACAAGCAACCTCCAGTTCTGTTACACAAGGGTGAAAATCCAAAATTGTAATAAGACCATGAAGGACAGGTTTCAAGACTTACTGGACCCAGACCATGAATTCCTTGATAATAGTCACTGCCAAGAAGCAAGGAGAGAGCAATCTGAAGATCACAACTCAGTTACTAATTTTCACCAGAAAATAACACAATAACCTTAAATAAACATGTTTATATACAGGATTGTCATTCTTACTTATTGAATAAGACATAAATGTCACTAATTTTATTATTAGACCATCAAACGTATAGAGAGGAAAGGAGTGGAGAAAACAAAACAAAAATAATCACAGAAAAGCATGGAAAAGTTCTGTATTCAACATGAAAAACCATTTCCAAATTTCCAATTCAAACAACTGAATGTCAGTTATGCTTCCTTTACAGGGAAAACTCTGTTTTAACGGACTTCTCAATGAGCGATCCCTTGATGGTGTTAACCATATAGATAAATTTTAACCTATTGTTCATGGAGCTAACTTTCTCTTGTGGGCCTTCACATGCATAAATCTAACTGATTTGTAACGATGAAAGAGCATCTATACAAAAAAAAAATAATAAGAAGAAAAGAAAAGAAGAAAGTAAGCATTGTGGTTCATAAATATGTTGAAAAGTCAATCGGTAGTTACCAATGAGTCCCTCCCAAGTCCAAGTTTTCTTTCAATATCTGTCATCTCATAACAAACAACAAATCCACCATCTCCTTAATCATTAACAAACAACTCCTCATTAGTCATATGAAAACATAAATACAGAAATATATATATAAATCAGAACAACGTGACCTACTCACCAAGGCAGATATCCCTGTACGCTGTCCTTGCACCAAAAAGGAATATGTCTGAATCTAAACTGAAACATCCATCCTACCATAATTATTATGAATAAAAGACAACAGTGATGATAGGTTAGCCGACAGCAATAGCATAAGCATTCAATTAAATCAGAAATTGCAATGTGGATAGAAAAAGGAATTTGAAGATAGATAAGTATACACAGTGCATACACATAATGATTCCAAATTCAGCAAAGCACACTGAGCTTCAGCTTCTTCTATTCTGAATTTAGAAAAGAACCAGATAATATTAGTACAAATTTTGCAGCAACTTATCCAGTAATGCAACTTTTTCAATCAACTAATAAAATGGAAAAAATAAAAGAGCATATAAAACCCTTTTAGACTGCTTAGTACCACCTATATAACAAGACATTAAACACAGTGGCAGATCTTGACCATTTATCTTGAAGGGGTCAAATAATATATTAATAAACAATAAATAAATATAAAAAAAGAAAGAAGATGAAAGGGTGAAAGGATAAATTGTAAATATATACTTAAATATAATAAATAATCATTAAGTTTGAGGGGGACAAAATCATAAATTATATGAGAGTTAAGAAGGGCTGAGAGATAAAATTGTAAATAAACAAGTATATATATTAAATGTTCATTAAGTTTGGGAGGCCAAAATCATAAATTACATAGGAGTTACAAAACTTTGAAGAGACCATGGCCCCCTCAGCTCCCAAGAAGATCCATCACTAAACACATTTTCAAATTAAGTTTCACTTTTTATTATTACTATTATAAATTAATAAATTAAGTTTCACTTTTTATTCAATTTAATTAAAATATATTTAATACTAAGTTACTAACTATTACCAGACGCAATATGATAAGGGTCTTTTAGAACAAAATATTGAATCTTAACTTCAATTCTATTGCATATTACCCATTCAAACAAGAAATGCCAAGAGCCATCCCCAAGATTTTAGCCTCTCTAATCATGCAAGAAAACTCAGACCCCATGTTTCTCCGTAATGAAGTCACTTTCTGTAAGTTAATTTCATTTTGTGCTACCTGCATTATTATTATTATTATTATTAAATAACAAAAGGAAGTTATAAAAAGTATAAAGAATATGTCAAAGTACAGAATATGTCTAAAGTATATAAGAGAAACCACGTGAGGAAATAAATTTGAGAGGACCACCAACCTCCTTTCCAACATTTAAGCGACGCCTATAAGTTGATAGTTTTATGGCAGGAATTGATCCATCTACACACATCAGAGCTTAGTCACTGGGAAGGAATGTGCACGAATAATGTAAATGCAAACACATTTAAAAGGCAAATAAGCAGAATGAATGGTGATAAAAGCACCATAGTTAAATCAACAAGAAAAAACCTAATTGACCGCTGCAAATAAGACCTATAAGTAGCATGTCCTATGCGAATGACGTACACCGGAATTTCAAATTAGTAAACGATATTACATTAGTTAACAGGGGCAAACATAGATCCCACATGTTTTACTTCTCAATCGTATAAGAGAAAAAAGAGAAAGTGAAAATTGTAAAGGAAAGTAATATTTTTCAAAAATACCTCTCTCTCATCTCTCTCCAAAATAAATATATCAGTAATTTTGTTATTGTATAATTACTTAATTTTTATTAATTTATTATATTTTTTAAAAGGACAACTGTATTTTCTTTTCATCTCAATTTATTCTCAAATAAATATACTTTCTACTCTATTTCAGCTTTCTTTCTTTTTTTCTTTCCTTTTCTTGTTTTCACATTTTCTTTCCTTACTACCCAACATAAGCTAAACGAATAACTCCTTCCTCCAAACATACCCAAAGGTGTGCAGGCTTTGGTATATGTACTGTCATATGCTTTCTTTATAGCTAGCATATTCAGCCCATGCAAAAAACCAATACTCACAAACTTAAAAGGTTCAACATAAAAGCGACCACTGCTACAATTTAAAACCTTGATACACACGCATACACAAACATGTCCTAAGGTTTCCAGATTTGGTATTACTATGCTGAATGCTTTCCATGCAAAGCACTCAATTCTCAATATACGAACATGGCCACAACTATAATTTAAAACCCCGATTCAAACACACAAGTGGTCCTACACACAACTTTTAGAACTAATCTTATATGCAGACACACACCACTTATACCAAAAGTGGTCAATTTCAATTCTACCCATAAATAAATTTAAGTCACTCTTGTCAGTATGCTTTACATCCATATTCCTCACAACTGAACTAACCACAATACACCCGCTGTAATTAAAATCTCACTGGTAAAGATCAAATAGGTACAATACAAACAAAATATCCAATTCAAATACGCAGTCCCACAGTCACAGACACCCACCATTTTCTAAAAACCAAACACATTTTATTTAGGAAAAAAAAAGAAAGATAAAATACTAATTGGTTCCTGAATGAGTAAATCTTTGACACATTAGTCCCTGAAAATAAGAAAATTCAAAATAACTCCAAGATGTCAAATAAGTTTCTAGGCTTAATACGTATTCGGTCATTTTAGCTTAAACATGTTAATATTATTACTTAAATCAAACAATATTTTGAGTTCTTCACTGAACTGAAGTGTTTAACAGATATTTTTGGACTATTTTCTTTTAATATTATTTTTAGAACTACTGTGTCACATCTTAACGTACTGAATGGTGTTTTACCCTTTAAAAGATGAAACCCCCAATTCTGAAAAAACAGAAATTGAGAAACCTGCGACGAAGACGAGACTGCAATTGAGCGCAATGAGTGCTCTGAGTCGGTGAAAGAGCCCTCTAAGGTACACTTTCTCCTTGACGCAGGCGTGGGACTTGCTCACGCTGTGAAGCTGCACCATCCAGCACGAGAGGTCCACACACACCCTCTTGTTCCTGACCAACAAAACAAAGACCCGCGTCAACGAAATCACCATTCCGAGTGAAAGAACGGAGTTTTAGGGAATTGCACGAACTGTAGATGGTGAAGAGGAACCCTTTTCTTGCACGATTCGAGGAGGTCCCACAAGTTCTTCACGCCCATCGGAATGGAGATTGAGATTGAACGTTGGTGAGAGAGAGAAAGAAACAATTTTTTTTTTCCAGCGAGAGGGAAAAGAGAGGGGTTATTTTTAAATTCGAACCCAAACTTTAGTCCTGCAATGTTTCCAGATACATGTTGTTTTTTAAATATTTGTCATATAAATAATAATTGAAATTTTATATTTTTAATTAATTGTAAGGATATAATTGATGGAGGGAGTTTTTTTTTCTAGAGGATATAATATTTATGTTAGTTTACCTTCTAAAAAAAGTAACATTTTTATGTGACAATGTTTTTGAAAATAATTTTTCATGTTGTCAAATTTTATAAAAATAAAAACTTGTGAATCAAATTCTTTTAAATTAAAACAAAAGTTTCACTAAAAAAATTGTCATGATACTTTTAATAACTGTTGTTAATGAACAAAAAAATTAAAAAAATAACATATTTTATATAAATATTTTCGGTAATATTATCAACCAAATAAAATTCAATCATTTATTGTAATAATACTTCTTTTAAACATGTAATTCTTATACTAATCATTATTTTTATATATGAAAGAATTTCTCAACCTTTTCCTAATCTAATTTCTTTTTATCATAACATAAAATTTGAACTACAATCATATGTTTGGTAGAGATCAGAAAACAAGAGTATATGGTAATAGAGAAAGATAAAAATAATGTAAAGACAAGTGAACAAGTTTTTTTTTTTTATCCTAATAATCACATTTTGTAAAATCTTTTTTCCTGGTTAAAGTAATACAAAGAACGGTGTGGCAAGGGAACTTGACAGTGAGTAGAAGAATACAACACTTCTGGTCGATGTCATAAAAATATTACCCTTTCCAATTTTTTTCCCTCTCACTTTGTTCTCTTTATTCTCTGACACCAACACTCGAACACACGGCGTGCAGCAGCAACCAGAGAAGATGGCTCTGCAACTGTGGGAGACACTGAAGGAAGCCATAATTGCCTACACCGGCCTCTCTCCGCCCACGTTCTTCACCCTCCTTGCCCTAATCCTCGCCCTCTACTACGTCGTTTCTGGTCTCTTCCCCTCCTCCGACCACCGCCACGACGCCCACCGTGACTTCGAGCCCCAGATGGAGCCTCTGCGACCCCCCGTTCAGATCGGCGAGGTCACCGAGGAGGAACTCAAGGCCTACGACGGCTCTGACCCCGCGAAGCCCCTCCTCATGGCCATCAAGGGTCAGATCTATGATGTTTCGCAGAGCAGGTATAGGGATGATAACACCACTTTTTGTGTTTTTGATTTTTGCCCTTTTTGTTTTTTGTGGTTTTTGGATTTTGGGTTCTCGTTTTTTGGTATAATTATGACTTGATAACACCGATTCAGCTTAGCACAAGACCCCATTCGTTTTGTTTTTTTTTTTTTGTACTTTGATTTTTACCTTTTTGTTTTCTGTGCTTTTGGGTTCTGGGTTTTTGTTTGTTTGGTCAACGGAGGCATTTTTGTGTTCTGGGTTTCTTTTTATATTTTGCTTAGATGTTCATTTCAGGAATGGACAAAATTTGCATGCAGTTCTAGATACTTTTAAAATCAGAGTTTTATATAAATAATTCAAGCAAATGAGGTCTGAAATTATACGTCAACATAGATTATGGAAGCTTTCGGTGTTGTTTTCTATTTAAAATTAGAGTTTCATTATATTAATTCCTAGAATAATGGTTTAAATTAAACATCAACAATTCAACATAAATTACCAAGGTGAAACTCTACTTCCAATTTGGGAACACCGTCAAACGCACCTGGGCAAATTGTATGTGTGTTTTTGTTGGACAAGTACGCGTTTCAAGGGTTTTCTTTCTTTCTTTGTATTTCTTTTGTGAGAAATCTTTCACTTTTTGGTATGCTTTTGGGTGTATTTCTTTTGTGATCATTTGTACAATGGGATTAGTGTTTTTGGTTTGAAGAATTTATGTGACTTTTTAGTTTCTTTTTCGTGCTTGGAGGTCTGGATTTTGTTTTCTGGTGTGGAGTGTGGTAGCAACTAAAATTTGTAGTTGTCTATTACAACTTACTGTTATATATAATAATGCTGTTATCTATATTTGTTGTTATCTTGTATGGAAAATTTAAGTTGCAAACAGAGAGGATGCGAGTCTACTCGGTTATGGAAAGTGGGAAGGTGGGGTATAGGAGGATTGAAGCTAGGAAATGTGTATGGAGTTGAATAATATTGTATTGAAATACGTTGTTACTTTATAGGCCTCCATTTTTCAACTCTTGGTCGGCACTTCTGTTAATCTAACCTCAGCGTCTGCGTTGATTAGGTGAAAAGTTAGTAGGAGGAAAAAGGATTACTGATTGAAAATGACATTTAACCAATGTTATGGCCTTGAGAAAAAGTGACTTAGTCTAATTTTCCATCTCTCTCGTCAAATGTGCACTAAATGTAATGTAGAAAGAAAAGGATGAAATTGAGTAAAAATGAATTGAAAATGATACTTGGTTCCATTCATTGGGTTGTTCAAAATCTGATAGAATAGAATGTGATGATATGCATCCTGTTCCATTTCATCCCCTATCCCTCATTGTTCCTATTTAATAGTTTAATAATTTTGTTCCAGCTTAAAAATATTCTATCAATATAATGTTAACTTTATTCTGTTCCCTCCATTCGATTTCGTTCCACTCACCATTCAAGTCAACAGTTGCTTTTACGTTGTCAGTTTGTTGAAAAGGGTGTGTGTCTTTTTATGTGTGTATATCTTCCAATGACTTCAACTGTAGTTTCCATGCATCTTAACAAGAGCTTGCCATACTAGATAACAACAAATAATGATTGATCAAGCTGGTTACTATCTCCTTGAAAACCTTTGCCATTTGCTCTTCTACTTCAAATTCTAATTTTCCTTTCCTACTCAACCATCACAGTTGAACCCATTAAACCGTCTTAAACCTTATTACACACAAAATTCACTAACCTAAATATTAAACATAACCCAGAATAAAAAAATAAAAAGTAGAACTTTTTCTCTTCTTCAAACCCTCTATCAATCCACTTCATTCAAATTTTGATTACTTTTTCACAAAATTTCTAATTTTAACTTTCAAAACTATTTCATATCTCAAATTCATCATATATCCCCAACTATTTAAACAGAAAATAAGAATTTGAGGATTTTAGTATAGGTATAGGAAAATTGAAGATAGGACCAGATTTATTAACATTAAAGACAGAGACTTGAGTTGCATGAAATAAAAAGGGAGATCATAATCGCACACAGTCTAGACTAGATGGGCCAAAAATGTAATCAAATAAAAATAAAGTTATAGTTGGACTATTCATTTGCCTAGAATTTTAAAACCCATTCAAACTGAGCTTAGGTAACCCTGTCTTATGTCTTACCATGTCTACTTGTTACCAAACCATGACTGTCAAATCTTTAACAAAATTGCTAGTATATTCAGCGATTTTTACATTCATGTATGGTTCAGCGTTGAACATTGCTTGAAATGCATCTTGTACATAATAAAATACGTTTTGATCATTCAAGAGCTGAAATACCAACCAACTATCCCAAGGAATATTACTCATGTTCTAGAAATTACAGTGTAAGCTCTAAAAATAGTCCTATAGTCAAATCAATTTAGAGGTAAGTGAACAACAGCTGTTAAACCAAAGGAGGAAATTGAAAGCATAAGGTTTCAATAGTGTTGCAACAATCTGGAAAAAACAGGTAATCTAGGAAGTAGATTAATCTGGATCTTAAGATTTATAACTCCTTTTTCATCCCTTTCCTTTCCACCTTTGTTCTAACAAATACAGGGAAATTGAGCCATTTTCTATTTGGTAGCGTGTTGGTTACTTTTGTGCTTTGGCTGGGATAATGGGTTCAAATTGGCTTGAATTGCACTAGAGCTGCCATTCAAGCGTTGCAAAAGGAGTCACCTGCAGACTTGATTCCCTATACTGCTTTTAATATGTATATCTTTCGTTAGTCAAAAGACACAAAGGTTATTATTGTAGAATAATAATGTGAGAATCATCAGAAAAACGCAAAGCATGCCCGACTTTTTTGCTAGGTATACAAAATATTATATTGATTTTTATTTTGATTTCTACCAGAATGTTTTATGGACCGGGTGGACCCTATGCTCTATTTGCTGGCAAGGATGCTAGCAGAGCTTTGGCCAAAATGTCTTTTGAAGAGAAAGATCTAACAGGAGATATCTCTGGTCTTGGCCCATTTGAGCTTGAGGCCTTGCAAGACTGGGAATACAAGTTTATGGGCAAGTATGTAAAAGTTGGAACTGTCAAAACGACTGTTCCAGTGACTGAACCATCAGAATCAACGCCCCATGATGCTGAATCTTCCAAGCCTACTGAAGATGGTGCATCAGAATCAGCAGCTGTTAAAAATGACGAAATCCCCTCAAAGGTTGATGCTGATAAAGAGTGATAATAGCTGGATGAAGAAAGATTATTGCCTTGCAAACAGTGGAAACAGTTGTCTAGAAGCTCCTGATAAATACTGATCCTTCCCGATTGTATTCAGCAAATAAGTTATCAGTTTAGGCCAGCCCCTTTTGCACTGTATCTTTGTCTGAGTATTCTGTTTGATAAATAAGAAATTCTTAGTATTTAATTTCAGTTTTCCTGGGTTTAAGCTGTTTCATGTACTCCTTAAGATCTATATTAGGCAACAACGCAATGAACATTTGGGACCATGTACTCAGCCAAGCAAGTATTGAATGAATGTATTTAGTCTACATGGCATGGTACAAGGTATAATCAGAACAAGTATTTACCAACTTTTAGAGTAATTCCTGTACATACATATTTTAAACTTTTATCCTAATTCATTCTTAAATTTTACTCTTATTATAAATAATTATCTTAATATTGAGTTTGGATAAATACATGGATAATGCTCTTTTTCAACTTAATGCATGTTCATTCGTTCCCCAACCATATTGTGTTTTCTCTCACGATCTCATGTCAAGTTGTTAAAATCCAAATTTTGTTTAGGATGAAGAGGATAAAAGTTGTAACTTGGGTTCACCTACCAAAAATATTATATTTACTATTTTTTTTAATGTGTTATATGATATATTCTTTCTTTTTTTTTAATTTATCATGAAAATCAAGTTATTGAAAGATTAATTTTAAAATAGTTAATCAATATTATTTATTTTTTTATTAATTTAAGGATTATAAATGGATTAATAATTAGAAGCATTAGATTAGTTGGTTCGAGTAGTGTTTTAAGAGATTTTTCTTTCCCTTCAAGTCCTACTTAACCAACTAATCTTATTCCAAAACAAGTAGAAAGGGTGACTGTAAAATTTAGTTTTTCATATTACAATCATTCAAATCAATCAAATAATTATCTAAATTAAATAAAATACAATTTTATTTAGTTTTAATATAATATAAAATTAAACCAAATCAAATCAATATTCTCAATTTAATTTGAATCGGTTTTGTAAATTTTAATCCCATAAAATTGTTAAATAATTTAAAAAAATTTAAATATTTTCTTAAAAAATTGTTAAACAATTTATAATTAAAAATACTCAAATAAATAAATCTTTTTCTATTGTTATTGTTCTATTCATAATTTTAATAGTTGATAATCAATTCTATGCATAAAATGGTATATTTAAATATAATAATTGATTTAATTTAATTTAATTTTTAATTTGAATTTCGGGAAATTTAGAAAAAAAATTAAAACAATCCATGAAAATTCAATTTTAATTAAATTAAGAACAATGAAAAATCTTGTTCAGTCTCGATGTTACTCTTCACTCTCTTAACTTTCATGCATTCATCACTTATTTTCTCTTTCTTCAGCTTCAAATTTCATCTTGTTTAATTCAGTTTTGTCTTTAGTGTTTAATTTATTAGATTTAGTTTTTACTTACATAAGGTTTTCTCATTTAATATATTCTCTATATAATTTTTCTCTCTTATCTTTTTCGAACCAATTTGTAAAAAATCATAAAAAATTATATAAGATAATTCACTTTTTACCGTTGTTGTCATAATAAAATTGTTGAGTTGAATGTTATTTATGATACGAATTTGACTCAATTTCACTCATTCTCTTATAGGTTAGATAAAAATTTAATTTAACCAACCTAAGACCTAACCTAATACAATCATTAAAATTTAGTATTTAAAATAAAATCATTCTTTACTAAATTTCAAAAATTAAAATGTAACTTTTTTTTATAATTTAAGGTCTAAAAATTTATTTATCCAAATTTCAAGGACAAAAAATATGATTAAACATATTAATTAATTGAGGTAGTTTTATAATAGTATATTTGAAAAAAAAATATTAATAATATATTTGAAAAAAAAATAATAGTATACTAAAATATTTAATTTGAGTATATGCTATTCAAGAAAAATTATAATCCACCCCTAAAATTAGTCACAAAAATCAGTTATTAAATCAGTCATGTTTTATTAAAAAAATTTGAATCACAGTTGATTATTAACTAACATCAAATTGATTATTAATTTAGTTTTTAATTTTACATTAATTAATCACTAAATCAATCATTAAAGTTAATTATTAAATTGGTCATTGAAATAGTTGATTTAATCATTAATTTCTGTCATAATTTCAATTAGTGATTTGAGTAATAAATTTAATTTATAATATTAGTAACAATTTGATCTAAATTCGATCATTGAAACCGATTATTAAATTAGACACTAATTTGGTCATTGAAACTTATTTTGTCACTAAATTGATTATTAATTTGTTTACTGAATTAGTCATTGAGATTAATAACATATTTAGTTACTGAAATTGGTCATTCAATTAGTCATTGAATTATTCAATGATTTAGTCACTAAATGTATAATTGGTTCAGTCACTAATTGATTACCAAATTGATCATTTATAATTGTTAAATCAATCATTTAATCATTAAATCAATTATTAATTTGATCACTGGTTTCATCACTTCTATTACAATTTTGATAGCTGATTTGAATTATAAATTTAGTTATTAATATTAGTCACATATTTAATTATTAATTTTACTAATGTTAACCATTCAAGTTAATCACAAACTCAAGTAAAGTATAATTCAATTTTTAACTTGTTGATTAAATCATTTAGTCATTCATGGTGTGAACATGAATTGTAACCGTGAGCCAACTTGATTCACCACAGGTTCGAGCTGGAGTGAATTTGATATTTTTCATTTCTATCAATAATGGGTTAAAAATGAATATGACTCATTTAACCTACAAGTTAAGCGAGTTCGAGATGAGTAATTATAATAATTTAATAACCTTAATTGATGTTATCATATCTTTCCACATCTATTTCACGTCAAATATTCACTCAAGCTTATCATCAATTTTTTGTTGCATCACTATGTTCGCTACTACACTTGGATCACTTGTCATCCATTCGTCGCACCACTATACCACTATGTTTGTTGTATCATCGCGTTACAGTCGCGTCACAGTGTTTGTCGTATCACCACATCACAATTTCAGTCTCATCAGAGTGTTTGCCCTACCACCGCATTTGTCGCACCATTACATTTGTCACGTCACCACAACATTGTGCTTCATCTTCACCATAACCTTGGTCGCTTACAACGTTTATCACATTACAACATTTGTTATGCTTCCTCACCATTGTGTTTCAGTCTCACAATTTAGGTGTGATTTTTAGAAAAAAAATTGAAGTACAAAAAAATAAATATGGGTTAATTGAGCCAACTCACCTAACCCACCAACCCGTAGTGGGTTGAACCAGTGGCGGCATGGCAACGGGGCAGGGTGGGGGCGGGTTTTGCCTCCCCGATCCCCGCCCCCTATCTCCGTCGGGGTTAGAAATTAAGTCTCCATTCTCATCCCCGTTGGGTTTCGTGTTCCCCGCCTCCGCCCCGTCCCCGATTTATATTATTTTTAAAAAGATAATTACATTTATAATAAATTAATTTTACTATCTATTTTTTATATATAAATAAATATTTATAATTTATAATTATTATTAATTAAATATACATTTTAATTTATTATATTTATATTAAAATATGTATGTAAAAGAAATATTTAATCATTTTTTATTTATAATATTATTATTATTATAACATTGTATTCAAATATTTAAATATTTATAACATTATTATTATTATTATAATACTGTATTCAAATATTTGATTATATATAAGTTAATTCATTTTTAAGTTGTCATTTAAAAATATGAAATATATAGTTTATAAGGAAATATTCAATAAGTTAATTCTTATTTAATTAGTTTGAAGTAATAAAAATTTAAATTATCAATTCCTTTAATCTTTTAAAATACAATCATTTTATTAAGATAAAATTTGATATATGATAAATAAGAATAATAAGATAAAAAAATATGACATAATAAAACCTAATAAATATAAATTATAAATAAAATAATATTAGTTACTACTAAGATTTATGTAAAATATTTATAAAAAGATAAAGAAAAAAAAATTAAATTTGTGTTTATCAAATTGGTTGAAAAGATTGAAAAAAAATAAAAAATTGATGGGAGAGATTAAGGAAATATGAAAAAATGAAAGGTAAGAGAAAAAATAATATAATAAATTAATTGATATAAAAGATTAAAAAAGACAAAAAAAATTAAAAAGTGGGTAGAAAAAAAATTGGTGAAATATAAAAAAAAAGACCTTATATGTAATAGAAAAAGAAAAGGAAATACTTTTAAAATATTAATATTTTAAAATTTAAATTTAAATATAAAGTCGAGGTGGGGACGAGGACGAGGTCGGGGTGGGGATTGCATTACCCATCCCCGCCCCAGCTAACTCTGGGTTTTCCCGTCAAACTCGTGGCGGGACGGGTTGGTCCCCACTGGAACGAGTTTAATTGTCATCCCTAAGTGGCAGATCTTGATCATTGATCTTGGAGGGACCAAATAATATATTATTAATAAATAATAAATAAATATAAAATGAAGTAAGAAGATGAAAGGGTGAAATGATAAAATTGTAAATATATACTTAAATATATTAAATGATCATTAAGTTTGAGGGGGACAAAATCATAAATTATATGAGAGTTACAAAACTGAGGAGGGGTTGGGAGGATAAAATTGTAAATATACGAGTAAATATATTAAATGTTCATTAAGTTTTGGGGGGGGCCAAAATCATAAATTACATGGGAGTTACAAAACTTTGGGTGGCCACGACCCCCTCAGCTCCTAAGAAGATCCGCCACTGGGTTAAACTTATTGTGAAATTTTTAGTTTACCATAAAATAAATCAAGTTGAGCTCATCTATTTTCAGCTCAACCAACCCGTATGAGCCAAGTTGACTTACTTTGACACCCACGATATATTTAATAGTTGATTGAATAATTAATTTTCGGCACAATTTTGATAATTATTTTAAGTCTCATATTTAGTTAATGATATGGGC